AGCCTTTTAATTGACAGGGTGGGTTTTTTTGTTTTTGTTTGTTTGTTTTAAGACTGCAAATTGCATGATGATTATCATCGTCCTTACTTATCTACTTGTCTCCAAAAGTAGTTGTCCTATTGTAACTTAATGTATTATTTTAATGTCTTGATGTACTTTGTCCTGCAAAAGAGTATGGAAAGGATTAGAAGTCAATATGTAACTCTTTTATGTATTTTACCTCACCAAAGAGTTTTTAACAGATGCACAAACTGACTGAAGCAAAAGCTGGAAAAGTCATCTGATTGCCTTGTGATAAAAGGTAGTGATTGCAAATGAAGATACCCTTTTGCTAGAAGTAGGCATGCCGTTAGCAGCAAACTGACAACTATCTCAATATTGGACTAGTGTGACCTAGTTGGATAGTGAAAGTGTTTGTGAGCTATTAGGATAAATAGTCTCAGGAAGCAAGGGTTTTGTTTGCTAAGAAGCAGGAGAAATCTGCTATACGTTTTTGTCGCTATAGAAGGATGTATTTAAATAACATCTCTCAGCAAGTCATCAAGGTGAATAGCCTGTTACATCTTCAAGAACATGCCTTTCTGATAGTACTGCTTGTAGTTGGCAAGGAAACAATTTAAGGAGTTTCAGTGTGTGTGGATATTAGACATTAATTGCGCCTTCCTCTGGCGACACAGGACAAACTGAAGTTCACTGTTACGGTGAGAAGCAAAGAAGATCTTTGCAGTATTTTTATGGGATGTCCAATTGAAATTGAAAGGTTTTTTTGAAAGGTTTTTCAAGTTGCAAATAAATTAGCCAGGGAAGTAGGGTATCCTGCAAGATCAAGGGCCTCCTTCCACAAGCTGTCTCAGTTAAGGAGGCGCTTCCTGAGCACTTTGTGTTAATATTCTAGGTCCCTGATGAAAAAAAATTAAACCCAAATAAACATGATTTTCTTTAAAACAGATCACATTTAAGGAGTCAAATATAGCAGTATGAATTCTAGCAGCTTTTGTGAAAGTCCTGTGCCTTTTAGGACAGAAGGCCTTTTCCCCATCTTCTTTCTGTGCCAATGTTTCTTTCTAATGCTGCAAGCAGATCTCTTCCTCAGTTCTACTACACAGTTACTGTGATCAGCTGCTTTTGCACTTCCTAGAAAGCCCAGTGTGAGTTTGTAAACTCAAACCACATTTTGCAGAAAGACATTAGGTAAGAGTACTTACTGAACTCCAGCCTGGTTTGTTACAAATGTGACAGACTTGATGCCAACTTACTAGGGACCATGAAGTTTCCATAACCCATTTCTTAAAATTTTCCTTTAGAACCTCTCAGGTTAGACATTTCTAATCATGCAAATATTGTGCAAACAAGAAATTCTAATTGTTGGCTCTGCTTCCTTAGGGTAATTACAGAATCACAGAGTCACAGAATGGCCAAGGTGGGAAGGGACCTCTGGAGATCATCTAGTCCAAACCCCCTGCTCAAGCACGCTCATCTACAGCACATTGCCCAGGATCGCGTCCAGGCAGGTTTTGAATATCTCCAGCGAAGGAGACGCCACTACCCCTCTGGGCAACCTGTTCCAATGCTCTGTCACCCTCACAGTCAAGAAGTTTTTCCTCAGGTTCAGATGGAACTTCCTGTGCTTCAGTTTCTGCCCGTTCCCTCTTGTCCTATCACAGGGCACCACAGAGAAGAGTGTGGCCCCATCCTCTTGACACGCTCCCATCAGATACTTGCACACCTTGATGAGATGACCTCTCAGTCTTCTCTTCTCCAGGCTGAACAGGCCCAGCTCTCACAGCCTTGCTTCAGAGGAGAGATGCTCCAGTCCCCTCATCATCTTTGTAGCCCTCCGCTGGACTCTCCCCAGTAGTGCCATGTCTCTCTTGGACTGGGGAGCCCACAATTGGACACAGCACTCCAGGTGAGGCCTCCCCAGGGCTGAGGAGAGGGGCAGGACCACCTCCCTCCACCTGCTGGCAACACTCTGCCTAATGCACCCCAGCACACCCTTGGCCTTCTTGGCCACAAGGTCACATTGCTGCCTCATGCTTTACTTGTTGTCCACCACGACTCCCAGGTCCTTCTGTGCAGAGCTGCTTTCCAGCAGGTCAGACCCCAGCCTGTACTGCTGCATGGGGTTATTCCTGCCTAGGTGCAGGACTCTGCCCTTGCCTTTGTTGAACTTCAGGAGGTTCCTCTCCGCCCAGCTCTCCAGCCTGTCCAGGTCCCTCTGAATGGCAGCACAGCC